TTTTCATGGTTCTCAAAATTTTCTTTAAAATATCTGGCTAAAACTCCCTACATAGAAATTCAGCTCACTGCAGACATTTAGCAGACTATTGCAGCTTAAATAATCAAGATTTGACAAAGTTGTTTGCAACTGAGATACATTCTTAAAGGGAGAATGGTAGAGTAGCCTTGATAGTAAGCATTGGTGACAAATTGAGTTTGGTCTATAATAAGAACTTAGTCTTTGAGATTTCCCTGACAGCTGTGGTTATTGCAAACAGAAATTGCAAGCTGTGAATCTTGTAGTATTCTTCCTGCAGGAGAAGGGCAGAGCCTTCTCATTCAAGTCTCTCTCTTCACTTACAGAGTGGCTGCAGCAGACTCCTAGTCTAGCTCTCAACTCCCTACAGAAACGCCAATTCATAGAGTTATCAAATACAGGACATAGAAAAACGATGGTTTATGGCTTTTCTCTGTGTGTGCAGTTGTTTATAAAGTACATTTCAATAATTAATCTTCAAAAGGCATTATTGTTCTCAATAATCAAGTTTGAGTTTTCTCAACATTGTGGGCTCTATGCTGCCAAGCTATTTGCTTAGTAACAGTAAAAAAAAAAATAAAATAAAAAAGATTTTTGAGCTGCTAAGTAAATTAATTTTATTTATAAATATCATGCCTTCCCAGTGAAGTTGTTAAATCAATATTAAATCAGAGAGATACCTTATCTTGCATATTTACTACCTGGTTGACTAGTGACAAAAATTGCATCACTTTTCAGCAAGATGGCTGCCACCAGGCTCGATCTCAGAAATGCCAAGTGTGGTTAAAACTCCTCCAAGAAATGTTTCACCATTTCCTTTTTGTCCACAAAAAGGAATTGTTTTCATTTCTACCTGAAATATTTTCATAGTTCTGGACTACGCAGATGAATGTGGTTTTCCTTCAGGCAAACAATTGACAAATCCCTGAAAACAAATGTTTAGAGAAACAGCCTATGCATTTTGAATTATTCAAATTTAGTCCGGAATTATAGAATACCAAGATATCACCAGGCTATGATCCTCAATTTCCATTTTTCTCATGATTTCATTCCTCCTCCTTGCCTGTAATCCTCTCTTGTGATTTTTGACTTGAAGAAACCTTTAAACATACTGCTAACAAGGGAGAATAACTTAAAAGGTATTAGAAATCTGTATGTTGATCGTATAGGTTCACATTTTATCTCCTAAGGTGGGTTGTTCTTGATATATAGGTCTCTCATAATTATACATTATATTGTTTTCGTTGTCAAGACAATGAGTTATTTTTCTTGCCTTCTGATATTTAGCTTGAAGCACTTGGAAAGAAATGGGAATAAACGAAAATTCATGTGATAAGTTGCAGGCAAAGCCTGTCATCTGAAGTAGGCCATCATTAAAGTGGTCTAGGATTGATGAAGGAGAGCTGCATTAGATGAGAGTGGGAGGACTAAAAGTAATTTCTTTCGCTGTCACTTCTACAGTAACTCAGCTTTTTCAGAAAACTCCTAATAAGATTGCTTTTTGCTAGTTCAGTTTTCTCTGGAAAATATCTTCTCCTTCTTGCACATTCAATCTGAAAATTTTAAAGGCAGATTAGATTTTTAAATGATTTTTAGTACGCATCAAGCGTGTCAGCGGAATCACACTGGGAGCTGTAGCCACAACATAGGTGATCTACAGGTAGTGGCATTTTGTGCTGCGTTATACCCTTCTGCCAACGAACTGGAAGGGCCAAGTCTAAAGAACAATACAGCCTCCGTATTCGTTTGAGGTCTGTTTCTTAAGATGACAAAGCAGCTTCAGGACTGCTGATTGTCTTCTTAGATTTCCATTTATTTCATGAGTGGAGCTCGGTATTTTTAAACGTTGTTTATCATGCTGCAACTGTGGTGTTTCCAGTGTAACCACAACCAGCATATAAACTCCCATCGATGTATTTTGCTAGAGAAATGAGATGTGATAGAAAAAATTTTACTCTGGTCACCAACACGTGCTTACATGGCATCAGTTGGTCCCCTTTGCCATTAGGGGTTATTAAGCTTTGCTGGTATGGTACGAAAGACAATAGCAGGGAAAGACTTGTTTCATCTTCTTGGCTCCCACCTCCCTTGCACTGTGTGTCCTGTGCATATCCCCTTGTAACTAGAGTATGCTGTCATCCATAAAGATGTCTATACACCTGAAACTCAAACTAGATATTGGAAAGCAGAGCTGAGGGCACTTTACATGTGTGTCCCTTCTGCATACTAATTTACAGTCAGCAATAGTGACTGTTAGATCTGCAGCTCTATTTCATGGTAATGTTAATGGAAAACCAATGATTGCTGCTCTCCTGAATGACTTGATACTCTTCTGCACTGAGAAAACACGTACATTTGGACTGAACGAAAACTCCAGAAAGTTTTATCCCTAGAAAAAGAATTGGGGGAAGGGAGTGAAGAGGTTTCATAAGGTGAGCTGTCATGGTGCGGAAAGTGTTTCAGCAAACACTACAATAGAACAAGACTGTATCTCATTAAGTCTCCTAATAGATGCCAAAGAAATGATACTATGGCAGAAAAGATCTCCTTTGATTTTTGTTTCTTTCTTTCACTGGGAGAAGTGGACTACCCTGCCTGTACTGCTTAAAAATCAGGCACCTGTGCAGTTGCAGTGTCAGTCCCGCTTTAGAAACGGTAGTTTAAGAAGCGTCAGTGCAAAGATTTTAGAGTAGGGGCAGGAGCGATGAATTATTTTGATATGTGTTTATTGTATGTGTAAGCTTTGTCCTCAGGCTCCTTTTATCAACTGCTGATGCACAATACAACTGTGAATTAGGATCGAGACTTCACAAACACCTGGGTGAACAAAAAGCACCTGGGATGATCAGCACTCACAGTTTTTTTAAGTCTGTTGTTAACACGGGTGTTAATAAAGAAAAGGTAACAGTCACCAGTGGGGACAACCTTACTGATGAATGGGAAAATGACACTGTGTGAGCAGTAGGTGAATGCTGTTACTGAGGGGGTTATGATGCTTTCACAGTCACTCGTTGCACAGCATTCTTACTTGAAAACCAGAAGGTAGGTGTGTCGTTTTCAGTGGTCCTCTCTTTTCTGACTTTTAGTTTCAATTAAAAAATGTGAAAACTTAGAAGTTTTACTCATTAAGCTGAAAAATGAAAATGCAAGGTTGTCCAGGAGATCATTGTCTTCTTCTCTATCACTCTACCCATTTCAGTTCAATATGAAGATTGTCTACAGGGATTGACACCTAAAAGTTAAAAGGACAAACAGCCTTTTCTGATAAATTGATATAGCTGTCTGCTCTTTTCATTTTATTAAAAATCGTTTTTAAATGAAGTATTCCAAAGACATTGCAAAAACTACTGTAAAGTAGAAATATTCTATTAAAAATCATGTAAAATTTATGCAGGAGAGAAAACCAAATCTTCAGATGTTGAAGTTAATGTTCATCTTCAAAAGTCCCTATATTGAAATAATATCTCCAGATCTGATCAGTAGATTCTAATTTCAGATAATTACATGGCATCTTGGAAATAAAAGGAAATTTATTTCAAGCCACACAGGTCTAAAATAGATTTTTGTCTTTTGGTACTGGAATTCTTAAAATGCATAGGATTTCAATACCTACCTACCAAAAATATAAATGGAGTCAGTTATTTCACATATGGCACAACTCTACAGCGCTGAAGCAGGAAAAAAGCTTCAAATGTGTTTCTTTTATGATGATGCAGAGTTCTCAGTGCTTTGTGTAGGTAGGACAAACTTTGAATAAAACGGTAAAGTGATCCTTCATACTCAAGCGTTGATTAAATATCTAGTTTGTATACATAATTGAAAATTATTTGTACTTGGAACAGCAATAAGTGTAATTTGTATTACCTTTAAACCTACTTACTGGGGAAATGTGAAGGGGTTTTTACAGAAGTGAAGATCGAGCACAAAATACTTACAGATGATTGAATCTGTAACAAACTGCTTTTGCAAGTCCCAGGTATCGTACTGTCATAAGATTTTGCGTCTGAGAAAGCTACCTCAAAAACCATGACAGCTTTTCAAGTTGCTGGGTAGAGGGGGAAGTGAAAAGGGTGAATGTCTTGAGCAGTTGACTGTGGGTGTTTGCTGCATTTACCTGTCCCCCCTAGTTACTTGTAGCTGTGACAAAACTTATACTGCAGAGAAAATGTGTATTTTAAAACAATGAATTCTCCTTCATCTAAAAGTCCATGATTCCTATGTTTTTAACTGAAAGAGCTCTTTCAAAGACTCTCAGCTACTGTGTTTTGGGTGCAGATATTTAAATAAAAAAATCTTGCTTCTCATAGCTTGCTAAACTGGGCTCTGGTCACACAAGCAATGGTGTGCAGCTCATCCTGGTAGATTTAATTGCTGCTAACATTTTATTTACGTGGAAGTTGGATTTTAAAGGAAAGCTATTATGGGAATACAAAATAATTTTGCACTCTTCTTCAATACAAGTGATTTTTTTTTCACGTGTCCAAGTTCTCTTGCAGCAAGTTGTACACATACATACGGTTCTTGTAAACATCTGCCTGCCTACAGAACTGTAAAAGTAATTGTATTTTGATGGGTTCTTTTTAACTTTATGTTCTCAAGATTGCAAGAAAAACTTAATTAAGGTTTGTAGATAAGATCTCTAAGAAAAGAACATTGTAAGAATTTACTTTTGCTGGTTTTGTTCTGAGATCTTGAAGTCTATTTCTTTTACAAGACAGGACTGGCAGAAGAATTGCAATTAAAGGCACAATAGCAACAGAAATACAGGAATGATGGCTGACAGTGTGGGCTTCCTTCAGTACTTCTCATTGTATAGAAAGTGTGACTTCAAGTCCTGCTCAGTTTACTAAAGCATCTTGCTTTAGTAAACTGCTTTACCCCGTTGACCTTGGGGCCTTGTTCTTCCGAGCAATGCATGAGCAATGAGGAACTCGGTTTCCTTCTGCCAAATGAAAACACTTGCTTTTCCATCTTCCCCACAGGAGGAGAGGTTCCATACACAACCCTGGCAACTCGACTGATGATGGGAGCTTGGTGGCTTTTTGCTTTGATTGTCATCTCCTCCTACACGGCAAACCTAGCAGCTTTCCTCACCATCACGCGCATTGAGAACTCCATCCAGTAAGTTGATAAAGAATGAATTGAGGGAAAATAGGGTGAACATATATATGTATATATACATGTAGAGGGGTATGAATGTTCTACTTAAGTGTGAGAAAAGGAAGATGCTTTTATCATCCTGAGAAGTAGTTTGCAAGCTAAAAAAATAACAATATGCCATTGACTATCAGTCTCCCTGGAGACATTTTTTCTTTAGGACCAGAATTGTTGACCTGTCAGATGCTCTTCTGTGGCACATATACATACATATGTATGCACACATATATGTTTTGAAAGAAGCAATTGAGTTGGAGATAACCAGTGTATCAGTATTTGAAATGGGAAAGTATAAATTGTTGCTGTGTGTTTTCAGGCTTTGCTTTCCATTCAAATGCATCCCACAATACTTGTGCTCTGACACTTTGATCAGGAGAAGCCCAATGCTTCTTCAGTGTATGGGGAGCTCGAAGGTGAATTCACGTTTTCTTGCCAAGGCAAAGATGTGTTAATAGCAACAAACCATAAAAATTCACTTGCTAGTCATCTTTGCGCCTTCTACTCCCAGGAGCTCTCTTACTACATTAACAGATCACATTGCTCTTTTTATCTGTCTATTGGTTCTTTTGCTTCATGCCTCCCTAACATGAATATCCTTGTCTTCTCCTGTTCCCTTTATGGTGAACAGTTCTTCTGTCACACTTTCCAGTCCTTTTTTCCAGATAATCTCATCTCTCCATGCCACAGAAACTTTTCTAGGTCTTCTACCTTCTCTCTCTGCCCTTTTGTTCTCCAGTCTCCTCTCCTTCAGCAAGCTGCATGCTGGCTTATCCTCGCTCCCATCGTTCCAGCGATCTCCCCCACCCCCAAATTCTTCCTCTTGGGTCAAAGCAGAGACTAGAAAATACAGTGGAGCATTAGCTAGCCAAGCATTCCAAGAGTCAGCTGGCCATTTTTCCATAGCATGTTTTTAATCTTGAGGCTACAAGTCTGTGAAAGTATGCGAGAGTGACAAAGTTAGTCTCTCCCATAAATCCTTCTTTGCAAAAATCATAAAATTACTTTAAAAAAGAGAGGTATGTTCTGCTGTGTTTCTTCCTCCAGAAGGGTAAGAACTTGACCTTCAAGTCAGGCTCAATATTGACCTTAGGGAAAAATCAGTTTTCTTACACCAGTTGTTGATTCAAATCCCCATCTTCTGTGTATCATCTCCTAAGGTTCAGCTGCTTTCCAAATCTCTTTGGAATGCCCCTTGAGACAATGATCCACTAGTCTAGACTGGGCAGGGGGAGCCTTGACTTCCTGTGAGTTCGTAGTTTAGGTTGAAGCATCACTGCCTGCCAGCCAGTCACTGAGGCCTCACTAAGGCACTTTTTCTTTAGGTGAGGATTTTCTACATACTAAAACCAATCCAGGCTTTAACAGCACATAGACAAGCAAACATCTGCAATAGCAGCCAAGTTTTGTTTGTGACTGGAAGCCAAAGCTCAGTCCTGAGAGCAGAAGCAGCCCCTCACTTTGAGTGCGTGGTTATCTCCTGACTCTCCCCATTAGGAGGATTCTCTTGCACTTCATAAACCCCTTCTCTTTCTCCCTGCTCCTTGGGTGAGGGGTGGTGGAGAGGAAAGTTAATGTCCCGTGGCCCAAATTACCCAGGCATTACTAGTGCTTACGCATTTCCAATTGGAAATGAAGTGTCTATGGTTGTTAGCCTTCCTTTCTGGGCTAACCACCTCGATACTTTTATGTGTTAGAGGGCTAAGCACTCTAAGGCAGAGACATATAAAACAGGCTAAAATCACATGAGCAAATCATTCTCCTGATACAGTTGTATTACCAGTTAAATCAGATTATTGTTTTCTTTTGAGATATAAATAACAGACTTAGAGATCATGGAGTGCTGCAGGGGTATTTTGACACAACTTCAAAATTTATAGGGGATTAAAATGATATCTGCATCAATGTCTGTCAACATTGATCTTGAAGTTTTGAGGAAGGTTGCTTTTTTTTTAGTTTAAAAAGCTTTGCATTTGACTAAGGAGCATGAAGAAACAACATGGGAATTTGAACACAAAAATAAATAATAATGATATATTCAGTCACTCAGTTTGTCCTTACAAATATGAAATATGCCTCTGCATCCTGCTTTGAAATTATGTCCCTTCTGGTTTTGAAGAAGTCCAGAAAAATGTTCAAACTACTGTGACAAATGTCTGAGTTTTCTTATCATGTGTAAAAAAAGAATAAAATTTACCCAAACTATAATTTAAAACATCTTCAGCTTTTTCTTGCAGTTTATTATGATGTCACTAGAAAATCCTCAGTGGAATTCTGAGGTTATTATGTACAGTTGGGACTACACTGGTCTTTGTGCTGGATTATTTATGGGCAAAGTCACTGAAAATGTTTTATTCAGTAGAAAATGTTGCAGCTGGAAAGCTCCTGGAACGAAAGAATGGAGATATTTTTTCAACAGTGCTTGCAGCTCAAAAATAGAGTAATTAGATGTGTTAAGTATCCATTAGGGAATGAAGTTATCCTAACTACGGTAGGAGTGTAAAACTTTAGTTTACAAAACTGCCAAAATTGGAACTCAAACTAGCACATAAGAGAGAGGCTGTTTGTTTACCATGCTGAATTACTGCAAAATGGGGAACATGAATAAGCAATAAAGAAAAAAGCTGATGCTCTTTTTTATTTTTAACAGATCAAATTGTACCTTGGGGAGCTTTGAAGGCCAGAATGGAAATGAGTTTAAGTATTTAAGGAAAATAAACCAGATTCTGCTTGTAGTGCTTTCCAGCCAGCTTCAGAGAAGTCAGAAAATGGAAGAAATTGAAGTCAGTGGGTTTGCATAGGTGTAACAAGTAGTTAATAGGTTTCCATTTCGGATTTCCAGCTAGCATCAGATATTACAGTGTTGTTGAAGGCACTGTCTTCATAGTATCTTTTACGAAAGATAGGAGGATTCAAGCAGCCCAAAGCACATTTTCTTTCCATAGAACATTTTGGTAGTTACTGCGTTTCGTTTTTTGGATGTGTAGCCAGTTTGTGTTGCAGCTTCCCTTTCTCAGCTGGTATGAAGGTTGGGCCACTCTTCCTAGTCGGTGCCTCATGGTATCCAGAAGCCTATTCTGAGAAGGAAAAGCATACAAAAATGTTTTAGACCATGCACTAGGGAGGCCTAGTGAAATGTTCCTTTTCCCTAGAGAGTCTTGAAGTAGATCTTTGCTGTATAACTTCAATTGAATTTGATGGCATTTGTTCTCTGCCTCACTGATTAAATTGGATGAAACTGTTAAAATTTTTAAATGAACTTAGAGGCACAAGAAGAATAAGAGTGGGTGTTAATCTCCTTTTCCAGGCAAATGGCTACTCTTAATACCTTCGGGAGCTCAACTTTTCATCTTCTGCCAACAGGCAATATCAGGAGTAGAGGCATGCAAGGCAGAAAGTAGTTCCTAGATGCATCTTTTATTCACACTGGACCCACATCGCAGATGACATTTAAATCAAGACAGTCAGCATTTCAAATGCCAAAACATTGTGGCAGCAAAGCAAAGCATAATTTCTATATTCCTTAAATCTTTAGATCACTGTCTCAAATACATCATGAATGAATAGTAATTAAGAGTGGCTTTGCTTGGTAAATGCCAAATAAATTTGGAGATCTCGGGCTATTTCTCATAGGTGCTGATGCTACGAATTTCATCACTGAGATAGTATTGCCATTTCTGTGTTTTATGATTCCTTTAGGACAGAATTAGAGTCCATTGGCAGAGACTGATTTTACTCAGACTGCTGCACTGTGCTCTTTTCCCAGGTAAAGGCGAGAGTGTTACCACCTTCTCACAGGCACTGAAATTTTGCAGGAAAGTTGGGGGAGTGGTGTTGGCAGAGGGGAAGTCAAAGGATTTGTCATATGAAAGACCAGTGTTAGGTGGTTTCAAGTTTAAATCTAATTCGCTTCTGAAAGCATGGAAGCTTGATTGAGACTTTAGACTGTATGCATTATAGAGGAGAGTCTGCATCTTGTTTCTTCTGCAGAAGTTGTTCACATTAGATTCTCTGTGTTCTAAGTAGTATGTCCTATTTGATAGGTGAGATGTCTGCCTCTGAATAATGAAGTCATAGTGGCAAAGCATGCTTTTTGTCATCTTTGTTTTGCCTAGTCATTCTTTTCACATTTTTCCTAAATCATGATTCACTTGAAGCCAAGGTGTCCCCAGGGCTTTAAACAGCTCAATATAACTGCCTACCAGTTTTCTGCAAGGAAGATTACACAAGAATGCAGTAATTGGAGTAGATATTTCCTTGCTCTGAAAAACAGAATATTCTCTAACTCTTCCTATAATGTCATTCATCCAGATCTTCAAACTGGCTAGCAAGCAGTATTACTAGTTTCTGACACAGCTGCCACTGTCAACAGTCAAATCTCTTACCTTACCGTGCCCGGTTTCCTAAGCCTGCCTGTGAACTAATCCCTAATGTCCTAGAAAACAAAACAAAACAAAATTTAAAAAACATTGGAAAGCTTTATCTGAATTAGTCATAAATAAAGACTTCAGTAAAAGCCATGACATCAGGTATTTTTTCCTAAAATTTAGTGACTACTTCTTGCAGCCAGTTCTGTGCAACAGTCAAGTCTAACAACATGGCTAGCCTAAATCGATCTATAAGCCAGATCTACAAAGATACTTTGATGCCCAAGCCTCTGACCTCAGTTGTATTTAATCACCTAAAAAGGAATTCTCATATTCCTTTATGGAAGGGATCTTTTGTCTTTCTAAACACTTTTGGCTGACATATATGAACGTGTTACCTATTCTAAGTCTAGGATTTGACTTTATAGAAGAGGGTATGTTTTGGGGGAAGAAATATATGCAAATCCTAATATATTTTTTTTTCTTTGAGTTGAAAGCAGAGGTAATTTTTAAATTGCAAAGTAATTAATTTTTAGTAAGCCAGAAAATGAAAGTGACCTGACAGCTGCTGCCTGATTAAGATGCAGAACACTAAACAAA